CCCTGGGCGTCTCTCAGGTCTGACAGAGACGACTCCAGCATCATCTCCAACAAACTGAAACAAAGAAAAACTGATCATATTTTGACTTCATTGGTGAGTCTAGTCCTGGGGAAATTGTTTTTCAGTTCAGTTTTCTCATGTTTTTGTTCCCGATTGTTGAAATCAGCACCACTGACCTGCGTTTGATGTCATCGGGAGGACGGACCAGCTTGTAGGAGGAGCCCAGTTTGGTGAGAACAGAAAAGACTTGTCCTCTTTCTCTCCACACCGCATCGTCCGGTCCCTCTGCTGCGCTGCCGCTCCACATGACGGAGAAGATGATGTTGGTCAGAAGGTTGCACAGCTCCTCTTCAGGGGTCTGCTGCACGGAACACAAACAGCACATAGAAAATGGTTCCTAGATTACGGACAAATCCCACTTTCCAGTTCAGGTTTGGTTGGAAGCATTAACAGGCAAAAAAGCAAACAATAAAAACAAACAAACATTTATGTAATTTACATTGACAGTAACAATTTACAATTACACTGACATTATGTGTACTACTGTTCCTGGAAATGGGATTTGTAATGGGATTCACTACAACAAAATGGGCCAAACCTGTGGGTTGGACGTGTTGGAGATGGTGTCTGTGGGAGGATCGGCGCCGTAGCTCGTGTCGTCCAGCACGTTGGACAGACTGGAGCTCTTCCTGGGTCGGAGCGGTGGAAACATTTTGGGTTCCAGAGGAGATGGTGTGTTTGTCAAACTGCCCACAGGAGTGTGTGTATCTCCCATGTTGATGAGATCAATATCTAAGGGTGAGGTACCGAAGGGGGACTTGGGACAGTACTCTCTCCCCTCTTCATTCCCACACGGCAGGTTGATATCGACTGCATTAGAAATGGAGGAGGAGCGGCTGCTCTTGTCCATGGAATCGAAAGACCTGAAATTGATTGAGCCGCGGAGGTTTTTCAGTGGGATTCCTCCGCTCGGAGGTGACTGGGATAAATCAGAGAAACCCTCCGAAAAATCCCGCTGTCCCCTTTCATCCTCCTCCACCTCTTCCTCTATTTCCTGTGAGCTTTGATAATTTAGGAAGAGGCCGGTGTGGCCGTGGTCGATTATCAGAGACGGATCTCTCTGCAGCTGTGGCCGATAACTCGGCTCGAAGGATTTGTTTGGAACTCCCTCTGCGATGCTGCCTGTGAGGAACTCATAGGACTCCTTCACATAGAGTTTGGTCAGAACATCCTGCCAGCCTGGCTGCTTAGCAAGCTGCTTCACATAATCCTCACTGGAGTAGATGAGATGAAAGAGCTGGTGTAACATCAGAGAAAGAACAAAGACGACACTCCTACTCATTAGTCAGGTGATAAATATGACGGCCTTTGGAGCAGATTACAAATGATGAGAGCAGACTGACCTTTCTGCAGACATCCAGGCGGACGGTGAGGTCCGCTCTGTGGGACAAACAGACGACAGCCAGGAGGTCCCGGAAGTTTGGGCTGGCATCTGTGGGACAGCAGCAAATTAAGTTTTATTTCAAATTGCTTGAAATTGATAATGATCAAATTGATGACGCTTAAACCACAAATAATGGATTTGAACAGAATCGAACAACAGACAAGAGAGAAAGGAGCCTGTGGTCACAGGAGGAAAAAACAAACCCCTTGTTAATCTCTCAGTCAGTGTCACAGACCAATATCTGTACCATTCTTCAACTGGAATGTTGCTAAGTTTGTCTCTAGGCACTATATCCTGAACCAGGTCTTAAAAAATTGCTAAATCCTGCTTGTGTGAAAAAGGCTGCTCTGAGCAAACATGCAAATTTGATTGGCTGACAGCGTCACATGGGGTGCCGTGCTGGAAGCAGCAGAGAAGCCACGTACTTTACTATTGACCTTTAAAGACAGCATGACAACAGACATTCATGCAAATACCTTTTAACCAGTTTGCCTTCACTCAAAGGGAGAAAAAATATATTTCCCAAGAAAACATTTCCTGAGCATTAAAGAAAAGTTTCATATATTTTCCACGACTGGAAAATGTGGGTTTTTTTCCAATGTTTTTCAGGGCGCTTGGGGGCGATTTATAAAAGAGTGAGTGTTGTTTTGGAGATCATGTTCGACTTTGGCCCAAGGAGTGACTTTGGAATAAGTGTGGACTTTTGGAATAACCAAAGATAACTGAAGTGTAATAGTGTAATAGTTTAGGGCTGTAATTCTATTAGAGTTGTTCAGGAGTCAGTCATAAATGAGTCATTTCATGCTAAAATGTAGTGTCAGACCAGTGTCAGCTTCCATATTAACCTGTAGCGAGGACCTGCTCATACAGACAGCGGATGGTGATCATGGTGACAGGAATGTCTTCGAGGAAACAAACCAGGCCCAGGTAGCCAAAGTCCTTCAGTTTGATACGCTGCTTGTTTCGCTCAGACACTCGCTCACTTTTGAGTATTTTGTACAAAACCTGCAAACACATCAGGAAATTGTGAGTTGAATTTTTCCTGTAGCATTTTATCCAAACTGTACAGGCAAAAATGATCTGTTCATCAATAATAAGATATTTTCAAATTAACTCCAGCGATGCTTTTCTCACCCGGAACACTCTCTCTCTGGCCTCATCTCCGAAGTTTCGGTTGAGCAGCAGCGAGTAAAGCTGCTCTACGCCCCAGTCCAGCAGCGCGGCCTGCACCTGTTCACGTGGCGGGCTGGTCCTCAGGAGGTCGTACAACACGTCCAACGCCCGCACCACCTGGTACAGATAAAAGTAAAATCTGGTCAGAGGGAGGACATGAGGTTGGCAGATATCGTAGAGTAAAATGAGAGGGAAAAACAATTAAGGAAAAACATGAAGTCCAGGATTTACTAGGGATAGGGATTAAATTATTATACTGAAAATGTCAAGAAAGAAACTCCCTGAAGACACAAGGAGATAAAATATGTTAGTCCAACCTGCTGCTCCTCCCCCACAGCCAGGATGTAGGCGAGGACACTGTGGAGCTCCTCCAGCGTAGGAGACTTGAGGAAATCCTTGAGCATCATAAACAGAGAGGTCTGAACTGTTTGCTTCTCATAAGACATAGGGCTGCCATCTTTCTCCACACTGTGACCAAAGACGGAGAAAAGAAAATCACACTTTAAATCTGAGAGTCCATTGTTATTGTCCACTAGTCACTGGTCAAAATGTCATAAAACAGGGCAAATATCTGCACTTTTGTCTATATTTAAGTCTCCATCAAGATACACACAAAAAAAATCCACCAACTCCATGAAGCTAAAATTTAAGTCAATATTATTAATTTCAACGTCATATTATTCACAAAAAACAGGTGTGAAACAGATACATCTACCTAAAAAAAAATATATTTATTGTCACATGAATGAATGTTGATTCAGGGAAGAATTTTTAATGTGTTTATATATGTCTGCACATGGACAACATGGACTTGTTCAATTACTATTTCCAAGAGTCTGGACCTTAACGTTGTCCAAACTAATTTGGGACGTGGACAGAGAGCACGTCAAGATGTGTTTACCTGTAAAATGCCCGTATGGTGTCCAGCATGTACTGAACCCCATACCTCCTCTTCATGCTCTGCTTTCCCTTCTTTATGACAGAAGACAGGTACTGTATATGTGCTGGGAAAAGAGCAGAAATCATGTTTATCAGTCGATTTTAGGTTGACATAATTAAAAAAATGGCAAACCAGTATGAGTAGATGTAACAAATAACTGCAGTGATTTACAACCCAGAGTAACATTCTCTTTCAATTCTTGCAGCGGCTTGAACTTTAAACATTAATGTGTTCTGTCTCTGCTTTACCGCGCCTTTTAACTGCTGCTCTCATATACACATAAAAGGGATACAAACGGCCCTGACAGTTGTGAAAAGGATCACCGGTGCATTAGTCGACTGTGGGGGACGGGGGACGGGAGGGGGCCTACCCAGAGAAACAGCGAAATGGCTTTTAGTCCAGATGCGGAAATCAAAGAGCAGGTGGTGGTAGAGCTGCTGGAGAAGTGAGCTGTTGCCCTCGTTGAAGACCTGCTCCAGCAGGAGCTGACAGGCCAGAAGAACCTCCATGTCCATCATAACACCTGGGACCTGCAGGACAGAGGCAGAGGGGAGGGGCAGTAGTAGTGATTAGAAGCTGATGCAGTGCTACACTGAGGGTGCTGTTCGGCCGTGAGCTGATTCATCAACCAATCTTTTCAAATACCTGGAATATAACGACTTATATTAAAATATATATATATATATATATATTTGATATATATATGTGTATATGTGAAAACACAAGTTTATTTTTTTATATATTTCACATATACATATATGTATATATCATATGAATATATGCATACATATATACACACTATGAATATATTTATATACAAAATACAATAAATATACAAAATATATGTTTATATATTTTGTCTTATATATACATGTTTGTATATATGTGTGTACGTATATATATAGTATATTAATGTATAGAGCTTATATACACACATATATGTACATTCATTCTTTCATCATTTTCATGGAGCCAACTTTACATGTGACGTTCATTGTTATAATCTGTTACCACATATTCTGCATCCACCCCCACAAGCATTTTGTACCAAGAAAGACCACAAGCATTCATTACACTGCATCGAGTTGGAAGGTCAATGTTTCAAAGGATTAGTGACCACTCGCTGCAGCAGGCTGACACATGAGTCACCACGTACTTTGCTCAGCATGGCTCCCATGATGCTCGGCCCGTGGCAGTGCAGCAGGCTCTCCTGATTGACAGGATGGTTACGAATCAGGGTTTTCACCCTCAGCAGGCAAGCAAGCCAGGCTGTTCTTCTCTAACCTGCCCTCTGAGAGACAAAGAGAAAAAGCAGCACAACAACAACTTTAGGATGATTTCCTGCGTCACCCCCGAGTGTTTTTCCACCATCATATCTCAGGAAGACTCATGAGTCATGTGCCAGGGTGTTTGTCCTGCTCCTGTCAGACAGTTTGCTTCACTTATCTTCATTTATGTCTCTGTTTACACAGCTAAGTTTCTTTAAATATGCTGTGACTCTATAGACTGTTTAACATAGAGATACACTGATTTGACAATGTAAACAATGTTGTCTGTATGCTATGATGTACTGTATACATTTTGTCTTCTAGTAGTAAACATCATGAACTATTTTAACACTCATTGCTGGTCATTGCTATTTAAACTTGTCAGCCAATGAGAATTCTTTGTAGCTGTTAGCATTTTACAAGCCAAAGAAAAGTGTGCACAAAATACAATCAATTCATTTAATCACTTAACAATGAACCTTTCGATCTATATTTAATAATAAAATTAGCTTAGCTTAGCCTTTTGTAATTTAGCTTTTTAAATCCATCAGCAACAAAGAGACGACGTCACCATGTCCAACTTTTTCAGACTGACCTGCAGACTTGTTCAGTGGAAGCAGCAGGGCGGCGGGGCCTCTGGGAGAAGTCAGCTCAGGTCCAAGCAAGTCGGAGATCTCCTGACCACCACTGCAGACCTGCTCTGCCTCGCACACCTGCTCCAGTAGGGGCAGCACAACCCCCATACCTCCCATCACATTTATAACATCCTGTAGAGATAAAAAAAAAAACACCAACAAAGTATTCTGAATATATGTATTATATGTTAAGGTAAAGTCATGTAAAAATCTATGTATTTGACATCATAAATATTTAGTAGGAGTGTCAAAATATTAATCACTTTAATAATTAATCTGTGAAAATAGGATTTAAACATTTTATTGCATTTCAACAGATTAAAACACTGTATGTCCAAGAACTCTTCTGTCCATCCACTTGTCGTTGTAGTAAGTCAATAAATATGTTGTTATTTACGCACACTGTAGAAAAACATTTCTGCTCCAAGAAGCACCAGGAGTTTAAACGTACAGTACATACACATACATCCACCTGCTGGTATTTGTCATGTTGTTTCAGCAATATACAATACAGAGGAATGTTGTGGTTGAACTTCATTAGTCATTAATCAATTGTGATTAATCACAGTTAATTGTTAATGATCCACAGCAACTCTTTCATTAATCACATTAGATTTGTGCTTGTTTGACAGCCATAATATTTAGAAATGTTTTAATATTTTTTACCTTGATGTCCCAGTTCACTACCCTGTGTCCTGTCAGTCTACCATCATAATGATAATTGGGAGACAAGTCCAGACATATCTGGCTCTTAAAGGCCTGAAGGAAACAAATGGACACAGATGTCAGAGTTTAATTGATTGTAAATATCATGTGTGTCTGCGCTGTAGTACTGTAGGTCACCTGTGGAGTGTAGTAGAGAAGGAGCTTGCTGTTGAGATCAGACAACTCTCCATCCACTTTGAATAAGGACACATTATTGGGGCCTGTCAGAGAAAAATGTGAATTATTTATATGAAGGAATATCTATTTTATAGGTTGAAAACACATTCAAAACTAATAGTATTTTTGTCAGTCCGTTCACGCTACGTTCTTTATAATAGTCAGCCAAAAAAAGCAGTATGTCAGTGTGTGACCAACCTGCAGCAAACAGAGCTTTTGCCTGGGCCGGCTGCAGAGCCTCGTAGCAGATAAAGGCCGTGCCCAGGAGACCACTCAGAGACGTGGGTGTCCCCCACTCTGTGTCCTGCAGTCCTGCAGAGATGATGTGCATGTTAGTGTCCCCCGCAGGCGCCCGTTGGCCTCCTGCAAAAGAGGCTGGGAAGGATTGGGAGCGGATCAGGGAGGGGGCCTGAGAGGGAAAGGCAAACTCTGGTGATGAGCAGGAGGATGAGTGTGTCGGCAGGTTGGGGGAGGTGGTGGTCGTAGTGGTCCGGTGGCCGGCAGAGCCGATGCAGCAGGAGGTAAAAGGCTTCACCGTCAGGACCAGGTGGCAAAAGGCAGAAAAATTCAAAGGATTAAAATGGGATTATGTAGTAATAACATGACTGTGATAATGAGGAATTCAAAGATACCTCTCCAAGAGAAGGAAAGCGGAGGTGAGCAGTTTTACGCTGCTCCCCATCAATGTAGATCGTCACCAGGTTCTGGCCAAATGGACGACGGCCAGGGATGTGGACTATGGCAACTGAATGCTGAGGATGTGAATAAGTCTATTTTTAATATCTAGATATTATTTGAGGATAGAATCACTCTCTTGACTGAAATGATTAGATTTGGTTTAAAAACGTGAGGTGAAGATGAAGTAACTGACCTGAATTTCTAAGCAAACTAGTGTGAATCAGTTATATTTTTTAAGGAAGACTTGACGCAAAGTAAAATCCTGATTATGTTTAACTTAATTAATTTTGTAGGAAAACATTTTTTTTCTTTGTATCCTTTGGCTGAAAACATGTTTAAGTGTAGAATTTAAAAGCACACATGTACATTTTTCTTTTGATGAGATAAATATTTCTTTGATAAATTTCAGGTGCTTAAATAAAATACCAAACATAACAATAATTGTTTAATAATGTTTTTCTTGATTTAAATTTTTTTTTTTTTATTTGACAAATTCGGACTTACCCAGCACGAGTCGGCCAGCGCGTACTCTGGCAGTGTGACAGCTACGTAGTCCTTCTTAGTGCAAACAGCCACGACCAGCACTCCCTCCATGGTGAAGAAGGCTTCCAATCCTGTTCCACTGGCTGTGAAGAAACTTTTTAAAAAGAACATTTTGTTTTGTGTAAGAACAAGGAACAATGACAATAAAATAAACTCTGAGCCTCTTCTGTGTGGTTTTTTTTCTACCTATAGAGCTGTTTCCTACGAGGTCCTTTTCCCATGTCATACTGAGCCCATAAGCCAGAGTTTGCACGTGGTCTACGATCACTGGTGAACTCCATGTTCAGACATAACCAGGCGTGAAAGGCGAACCCGCTGCCTGGCCAGCGTTGGATTGTCGGCACCATGATACCTGCCATTGGTGGTGTGAGATCAAAGTACTGCAGGGCACTGTCCTGGCCTTCCCTGGCCGCCATGGCTGACAGCACTCTGATGAGCCGAGTGCAGTAAGGGTGCACCTTCCTCTTGTCCTCATGCGCTCTGAGCAGTCGGAAAATACTTTTTAGTTCCTCTGGTTTCAGGCA